TTAACCTCCAAGAGAACTTGGCACAGGGAACTCAGAAGTGCAGGTGGTCCAGCGTCAGGGGCGGCTGGACACAGGCGCTCAGGGATCTGGTCAGGAACCGGCCTCCGCCCTGGCTCCGCGGCTGCTGGGCGCGCTGTTCGTGCAACCGCCCTGGGCACCCACAGCTGCGGCCTGCCTTTCTACTGGCGGGGGAGGGCGGCCCCCTCCCAGGAGTTCCGGCAGAAGTCCCAGAGTCCCCGTCTCGTCCCCGCCAAACCAGACTGTTAGAGTCAGGAGGAACTCTGGGGAGGCACAAACAACCTGTGGTCAGTGCCATGTGACCAGAGAGGGCCAGGAATGGGTGACACATCCAGGCGACCCCGCCCCAGTGCTCCCTCCAGGCCACCTGCCCGTGCCCCTTCCACGGAGCCTCAGAGAGGCTGCTCTCCGCGCGGGCCTCCCCCGAGAGACGTGGGGGGCGCCATGGCAGTGCAGTGAGTCCTGCTGCGGCTCACAGGCCCTGCCTGCTGCCCCCGGGGGAGTGCTCAGGAGTCTTTTCCAACTTGCCTCTTTTCTAAGGAAAGGGTCTCTTTTGAGTCCCCAGGGGGTGGAGCGGGCAGAACCAGAGGCCTTCAATAGGCACAAGTCACCCAGACATCTCAGTTTATTTTAGAGGGTGCCCTGCCCGTGCTTGCTGGGTGGCCCTCCGAGGCTCTGGCCGGGAACCCCAAGCCCAGGCTGCCGGCTCCCAGGGAGCACAATCTCTGCTCCCGGCACTAGGGGACAGCGGCATGTTCCTGGAGAGGAAGAGGGCTCCGTCTGGGGCTGTCTCCTCTCCACCCCCCCGCGCCCCTCTGAGAGCGCCCTGCCCAGGGCTGCGGCTGCGCTGTAGATCCCTGAGCAAGTCCCCGCCCCTCTCTGGCCTTTACTTTCCTAACCTGCCCAAGGGAACTGTGGGCGGTAAGCCAACTGCCTACACTGGCCTGTGACGTGTGAAGCGGGCTGGCTGTGCCGCGCAGGGCCGTGGGGCAGCTGCCAGCCTGGCTGACTGAGAGGGCGCCCGTTACGGAGCCCGGCGTGGCTGGTGAAATCTGCATTGGGCAATTAATTCAAGATCAGGACCCCATGTATAGTTGGCTTCAGCCTGTGCTTGGCGTCCCTGTTCACACTCCCTGCCACCAACTCAACCCACCCCATTCTGTGACACCCCCTCAGTCTACACCTGGCCTTTCCCCAAACAGCCAGTCAGCCCCCCAGGAGACAGATGTCTCCCCTCACTCATCACGTCCGTGAGCCCCACTCCTCGCTGTGGAGGAGCCTCGGGCTCTGACCAGCTCTGTGTGGAGCGTCTGCTGAGTGACCCATGACGACCCTGGAGATGACCCGGAAGGGCTTAGCGGTGGAAGTAACCTGCGCAGTGCACAGCAGAGACCGATCTGGAATGAAAACACAGGATCGTCCGCGTCAGTGGCCACCTGGGTCCATTACGTCCAGATGGACAGAGGAGAGGAGGGGAGCCCAGCCAGCCCCCCTGGTGTCTCTCCTGCGTGGCCCCGGCCATCACTGGGCAGGCCTGGTGTAGCCGCTGTGCAAGTGAAATATGAACGGGGGCAGGGCCTCCAGGAGCAGAGCAGCAGTTCAGCGGCCTCCTCGTCCTTGCCCGGCCCACCCACAGTGAGCGCAGCTCAGCACAAGTGGCCCCGGCGGAGCCCCAGCCTGCGCTGGACACCAGCCCCGATTGGCTTGGAACCCCCAGAAGATGCCTCTCATCTCTAAGATGCTCAGAAGCGCCTGGGGAAGGAAGGGGGAAGATGTGACCCGTCTCACAGTTGGCAAAACCAAAGTCACACAGGGAGGGGCCGGGCTTTTCGACCACATTCCCAAGGGTGGGGGCCTTGGAGCAGAGGGTGCCGGGGCCCAGTGTCCAGGATGTGCCTGGCGGCAATCCCGGCCAGGTGTCAGGCCTGAGGGCCTGCTGAGAAAGCTGGCCCAGCTGGCCCGGACCCTGCCAACCAGCCTCAGGGCCCTCCCCACCGCCCAGGTTGAGCAGACGCAAGGCATGTGACCCAGAGCCTGGCTCCCAGGAGTTTCTTGATGACGCCACATCACCCCACTCCGGGCAGGGAGCCCATTGGCTACGCCCAAGCCTTTGGGGCGAGGCCTGTCTGGCCCTGTGCCCCAGCTCCCCCGGGGCTCCAGCGGCTGCCCTGCCCCAGACTGCGGAGGGGCAAGCCTGCCCGGCTCCTCAGGTTGCCCAGGGCTGTAAAGTCTGGGGCAAGCTGCTTCACCGCCCCCTGCCTCAGTTTCCTCATCTGTAAAATGGGAATAACAACAGCCCAAGCCCCCTATGGCTGTTGGGAGGACTGAAGAGGTGTGTGGGGGAAAGCGCCCAGTGACTGTGCCCGGCGCAGGCACGGCCAGCAGCGGTGCGGTCAGCCAGGCGGGCCCCGCTCCCCCAGGCATCCCGGGACAGAGCGGTCCGCCGCCGCAGCCCGGGCCACCCTGCACCCTGGCACCTGTTGCTTGGGTGAGTTCAGTTCTCCCAGCTGAGAGGGGCTTGAGGAGCTCGCTTAGGGGTCAGAATCTTTGAGGGGGAGGAGCCACCTCGAAGAGAAGCAGGTTCCCCTGGTGACCAGCAGCTCCCAGCCCCACTTTCCCCACCCTCACCTTGAGGGTTGCCCTGGGAATCCCAGGCTGTGGAGCAAAGTTTTGTATCTTTGGTGGCAAAGATTTAACACTCCCTGCCCATCCCCCACCTATGCCACATATGTAAAGAGGCTTCTGCCAGGCCACAGTTTCCACGGGCATTTCCAGTGCGGGCTTCAGGTCTCCCACTGACTTTACCTGACCCTTTCCCCCAGCTCCTGCCATCGGGCGTGCATACGGAGCCGCGCTCTTCACCTGCGTGGCAAACCAGCCTGAAGGGCAGCTTCTCCGGCACACCCGACCTGCCTCCGCCAAGTGACTGTAGGAAGGGTCATTCTCATCTTAGCTGAGACTCAGAAGGTTGAAGCAGGCGGTTCCAGGTCACACAGCAAGTCGGTGAAGCCAGACTTGCTTCGTGACTGTGAAGAAGGTGGCCTTTGGGTTCACTCAGCAGCCCCTCCGCTCCCCACCCCTCTGCCTGGGAAGGGCTGTCAGAATTTTCAGGGAAGTCACCAGACTGCCGAGACCCCCCCTGGGGTGCCAGCCCTGGGTGGGATTCCCGAGAAGGGCCACTTCTGGAGGGTGGTGTGGCTGCTGGCCACCCCTGTTCTGGGTAATTTTCCATGGCAGCCACTTCCGGGAGGGGAACAAAGAGAGTGGGGTGTCCAGCCTGAGCCGCAGGGACTTGGCCTTCAAGGCCTCTCTTGGCCCAGGGGAACCCCCCTTCTAAAGTATGCCACTAATGTTACTCCCTCAGAGGGTGTGGCCAGACAGACTAAATCTGGAATCTGAGCCAGGCGGTATTTGGGATGGCGTGACTCACCAGGGCCGGGGCAAGGAGGGACGAGGGTCCAGACCTCTGACAGTGTCCTTGGCCGCCCTCACGCCTTTCCTGCTGGCACACCTGCAGGGGCAGGAAGCTCGCTGTCTCTCCATTTTCAAAGATACCTGAATGTTACTTCTGGCTTATTTCTCTCTTTTTAAAATTTACTTATTTATTAATTTGAGAGACAGGGAGGGAGGGAGGGACAGAGGGAGAGAAACATCAATCAGTTGCCTCTCGCAGGCCCCCTACCAAGGATGCAGCCCACAACCCAGGCATGTACCCTGACTGGGAATCGAACCGGTGACCTTCCAGCTCGCAGGCCAGCGCTCAGTCCACTGAGCCACACCAGCCAGGGCTAATTTTTTACTTAATGATTCTAGAGAGAGGGAGGCAGGGGAGAGAGGAGGGAGGGAGAAACACTGACCTGCTGTTCCGCCCACTTATGCACTCACTGGTTGATTCTTTCATGTGCCCTGATCAGGGGGTGAACCCAAAACCCGGGCACATCGGGAGGACACTCCAACCAACTGAGCTACGCAGCCAGGGCAGCTCTGGTTTATTTCAATCCACTGCTTTGGAATCCCTCCCCTGCCACTTAGCTCTGTCCTCCGTCCACAGCGCCTGGGGCTCAGCCCCCAGCCCTGTCCCCAGCCAAGCTCCCTCCTCTGACTCAGCCCAGCCTGTCATGATTCAGAGCAACCGGGCTCAGCTCTAAAGCACAGTCGGCCTCCCTCTCATGACCGCTGTTCTGGCTGCTCCCGGAGGCGAGCACCCGGTCTGGAGTCAGGTAGCCCTGGGGCCCAACCCTGTTGCTCTCCCTGAGTAGCTATGTGACCTTGGCAGTCAGAGCCTTAGAATTCTCTGGGTCTTCCTGTCCTGGGTACTGAGGTGAGCCCGCCTCAGGGGCTGGACTGGGCCAGGTGGCCCCCAAGCCCCTCGGCTTACCCCACAGCTGGATCTGGAAGGAAAGCTGATTAAGTCAGGACGGACATTTCCAACCCTCGCAGGCTCCGGTGGGTCACCCCTCCTCAGGAGGCCACTCTGATCCGAGGAGACTGAGGAGGAGCAGGCTGACCTCACAGCCCGGCCCCCGCTGTGTCGTCACCAACATCTCAAGGCAGAGTGGCAACGGAACTGGCCTGAGGCCGCATAGCAGTTGTTACAGCTATAAATTGGACGGGTCTGTCTTCCTCTAAAGAGCCAAATCTAGGAAGTGAAGTTTGTCGGGACATCTCTGTCCTCTCCCCAAGTCCCGAGGCCTCAGGGACGGGCCCAGTCCTGCGGTTTCCATTCAGCCGCTTTGCTTGGTGCTGGAGAAACTGAGGCCCAGAGAGGGGCCATGGCCTGCCCGAGCTCCCGCAGCAGCGGGCCAGGGGCAGCGGCACGCGAGACTGGGCAGAATGAATGACTGGAGGGCTCTCCCGCGGAGGGGTCAGTTTGCCCGGCGGCCGGCCGGGGCTGGGTCAGGCTCGCCCCAGGTGGGGCGGGGCCGTCCAGCCCGGGGCGGGGCCTAGGCACCCGGGCCCGCCCCCGCCCCCGCCCTGCCCTCCCTGCCTGCCCTTGCAAGCCGCCTCTGAGGGACCCCGTTTCCGAGGAACTTTTCGCGGGCGCCTGGCCGCCACCGAAGCCAGGGCGGGCCGCGAACGCGCGGAGCGGCGGCGGCAGCGGGCTGGGGCTGGCGGACGCAGAGCTCGTTGCGAAAGTCCGTGGCCCCCGAGCCAGACCGGAGGTGGCGACGGCGCCATGGACGAGCCGCCCTTTACGGAGGCGGCCTTGGAGCAAGCGCTGGCCGAGCCGTGTGAGCTGGACGCGGCGCTGCTGACTGACATCGAAGGTGCGTCAGGGCCGGCTGGGCTCCGCACAAGTGGGGCGCGCAGGCGGCGCCCGGCCTTTGTCTCCCCGGGCAGAGCGCGGGACTTCCCGGCGTCTCTGTACTCCGCGCTGCGGTGTTCAACCCGCGCGGAGCCCCCCTGCACCCGCTCTGGCGTCTCGGGCTGCGCCGCGCAGACAGTGCGTCCTGAGCCCCTTGGCCGCTGCCGCGGGAGCTTGGGACCCGGGCGTTGCCGAGGCCCCGCCTCTGCTTCGCGCGTGACGTCAGCGCGGGGTTATTCACGGTCATTCCCTCGGTCCCGAGAGTTCAGCTCGGCTCTGGAGCTCTTGCGCTTGCGCGCCGCTCGTCCTCCCGCCACTCCCCGCAGGGTCAGGCTCTCCCAACCGAAGATCGCAGCGGTTTGGCATCTGTTGAATACTCGGCCGCATCTTAGATACGCGGGCGGGTCACAGACCTGGGCTACCTCCCTTTTTTGGGAGGACAGAAGTCCCCAAGAAAACCGGCAAAAAAGGATATTGATATTTAGTTGCACCTTGGGAGCGGAGCAGGGGTGGAGCTGCTTTGGGCACAGCGATGGGGCACGACCTCTCTGAGGAGACTTTTGATCTGAGACCTGAGAGTCAGCTCTGGGACCAACTGAGAAGGATGTTTTCGCGGCCACCAGCACAGCCAGGGCAAAGGCCGCGAGCTTGAGGAGCTGGAGGAAGGCATAGGAGGGGAGGTGGGGAACGTATGCCAAAGGATCACGGGGCCTTGTCCGCCGCGGAAGGACAAGTGGCACTGCGCTGGGCTATTTACATGTTTTAAAGCACCACACACTAGTTATACTGAGAAGGGATTTGGGGGCCACAGTGTGGCAGGTACCGGCTAGGAAGTTGTTGCCTGCTAACTAGTACCTGCTACAGAGCTCCAGCAAGTTGCCCCCCATGGTAGCTGTGCAGGTTCAGCAACATTGGCTAAGTTGCATTTGGTTGATAGGGAAACTGGGGCCAAGAGCTCAGGACTCAAACTTCCCACACCCTGGATGGATGTGTCCGTGGAGCCTGTCCTGCCTGGGCTTGGCAGAACATGCGCATCTCCTTCGGCCTGGCAGATGAGCCCCGCTGGCGGCTGGCTGGGGGCTTACCAGCTTGCTTCCCCTGGGGCCAGGCTAGGGCAGGGCTAGAGAGGAGAGGCCTTGATCACTTCGTTCTGAGTCCCAAACCCCAAGTCCTGGGGAAGTCCGAACGTGACTCAGCTGCAGTTTCGCAAGCACTCGGCTGGTGGGTGGAGCCCGGGAGGTGCCATGGCCCAGAGTGCACGTCTGGGCTTTGGGGCCAGGACTTGGATCTGGACACTACTTACTTGGCGGTCCTGTGCAAGCTGCCTCACACCCTGGTCCTCAGTTTCCCCTCTGGGTTCAAGTGCTTCCCTTCAAATCAAAGCAGGACTGCCCAGGCGCAGGCTGGGCACAGACCCTTCTTGTTTACTCAGTTACAGAAACGTTCTCCTGACCCTAACCCCCAGGGCCCAAAGGTCAGGATTGGGCAGCTATTGGGGATGGGGGCAATTAGAAGTCAGACCTGGCACCAGCTCTAGTCTGAGAAAAAGGGGACAGCTGGGCCTCTCGCTGGCATGAGTTCAGCCCCAGAACCACATCTGGCTTGCTGAGCTCAGGGAAGGGGAAAAACCAATGATCCACTTCCCTGAAGCGCAGAAGCCCTGGGCAGCGGCCCCAGCTTCCGGGGGCATTGGGGTAGAGAGAAAGGAGAAACCCTCCAAGAGGCCAAGAGCTTTCCTGCCCAGCGCTCCAGGCTGCAGATTTGCCCTGGCCACCTCCCCACCCTGCCTACTAGCCACCACACTGCCACGGTGCCACAGCACGGAGCCACTGCCCAGGGCCCCCGCTGCTGCCACAGCGTGGGTGGGCGGACTCTCTCTGGGCTGGACGGGAGGTCTGCCCGCTGCAGCAGATTTCTTGTTTCTTTAGTCAGACTTTCTGCTCTTTTCCCCAATTATGCACCTACTCTCTTTGCATTGTAGAATGCATAGGAAGCACAGGTGAGCATAAAAGAAGGTAAAATCTTCCTTAAACCCACTACCCACAGATGAGCTCTGTTAATTAAGTGGGGGATTATTCCCTATGTGCCTGTATGTATTTTTTTTGGAATGGCTGCAGACTCTTGATCCTCCTTTTAAAAACTGCTTTATTGAGGTATATTTTACCTGTCATAAGATTTATCCATTGTGAGTCTACCATTCAGTGAGTTGCAGTAAATATACCAAGGTGTTTGAGCATCACCCGTCGGCAGAAGAGCATTTTCGCCACCACAGAAGTTCCCCCTGCACTGTTCACAGCTGCCCTCCAGTCCACCCCGGCCCAGCCCGGGCAGCTGCTAGTCTGCACTTCTCTAAATTAGAGTCGAGTCCATTGTAACCTGCTTCGTTCTGTGCCACTAAGGCAGGGTCCCTGGCCTATCCACCTGTCCCCATTGACGGGCGTCTAGCTGGCTTGGTGCTGCAGTGGGCGCCCCAAGGCCAGTGTCTGCCAGGAGGGCCCCGTTCAGTCCCACAGATAGGCCGGGGCCTGGGTCGGGGGTTGCTGGTTGGAGCCTTTCCCTGCCCTGGGAGCTGGGCGTGTTCTCGATAAGATCTAGAGAGAGGTGACTTGAGGGTGTGAGGGGCAGGGCCCAAGGGTCTCCAGGCCCCCTGAGAGGCACGAGGATTGAGAGGTGGGCCAGGCTCCAGGTGCTGGCCGTGGGGCTGGGCCGGGCCTAGGTGGCAGCAGGGAGCCTTGGGGAGGGGTTGGAGCAGGGCACTGCCCTGCTCAGGGTGCTTGTCCTCAGTCCCCTCTGGCGGCTGGGCTGGAGGATCACAGCACGAACAGGGAGTTGATGGCCTGCTTGCTGTGTGCCAGCCACCGTGCTGACATGGAGCCCTCCCGGCCACCCCCCGGTGGGTAGACTTAGGACCCTCCCCCTGTAGGCCAGTACCCTGAGGCACAGAGAGGCCAGGGGACTTGCCAAGGCTCACCCAGCCAGGTCGTAGCAGAGCCGGGACTCGGGCCCAGGCTGTGGGCTCCAGAACCCGCTCTCTTAGCTCTCAACCTATGGGCTCCTAAGAGTGGGGTTAGGGGTAGGGGCTGGCAGTAGAGACTAGAACCCGAGAGGCTGCTCCACACGGGGCTACACTGGGGCCTGGGAGTGGGTCATAGAGGGCACAGGCCACAAGGCCACCTCCCTCTCCCAGCCCAGAGTGGCTCTGGAGCCACGAGGCTGAGGACTGGCACCAGGGAGCCAGCCACAGGCCTCGAGCCCCACCCTGCTGCCCAGCCCTCCGTCCCGTGAACGGTCGCAGGATGGAGCCACAGAGCCCTGTGTTCTGCTGGCAAAGGCCCTGCCATGGCAATGGTGCCCAGCGGCCCCTGACGTGCTCCCCCACCCCCCATGCCTCCTTCCTTGTTCTGTGCTCTGGGACGCCTGTTGGCGGCGGGCAGGGGCACCCGAGAGCCGTCCTGCCGCGCACGTATGGGATTGTCACCAGGCGGGCGGCAGTCTCCAGCTCCCCGCTGACTAACTCAGCGGACCTTGCACGTGCTTCTTAGTGCAGAAGAGGCAGATGGAAATAGAGCTCTGGTCAGGGCCCCCACAGCAGTTGTGGGGGCCCTGGCTGAGGAGCCCCCGGAGGCTCCGAGGCACAGCCTACGGGGCACGGCTCGCTCTGCCCACTGCCTGGACGCCGCCACGTCTGCCAGGTGTTCGTGGTGCCCCGGGGCCTGGCTGCCATCCCGGCTCTTGCCTCCCTCCAGCCCATCCTGGCGCTGCGTTCTCCGCTCATGGCCCTGCGGCCCCTCCTGTGAGGCCTAACCCACTGCACGGGAGCCGGCCAGCCTTTTTTTTAGAACCAGACCAGCTCTGCTGCTGAGGACACCCTGGGGACCACAGTGCCATCTGGCACCTCTCCCACCACGTCTTGTGCCCAGTTCTCTCCCAGGCCCTGCTAAGCACAGAGCCCCCTTCGGAAAATTGTGGTTCGAGACTGCCTACTGTCTAGGCCAGCCTCAGGCTCACAACTCCCCAGTTCCCAAACTACCCATGGCTCCCCAGTGCCCCTGGGACAGGGGTCCCTGCTTCAGAGGGCATCCAAGGCCTGTGAGGCTTGCCAGACCCGCCCCTCCCCCGGCACCCCCTGTTCACCCAGAGCCTCTCCTGCCCCCGAGGCTCTCCCCAAGCCCCTCTGCTCGGGGGGTGCCTGTCCTCCTGGCCGCGGGGCCCAGCGCCCCTCGGGGGCACAGCCTGGGAGAGGCCTCTCCCATCAGACACGGTTCCCTTCCCGTCCTCTTTTCGGCCTCTCGGTATCTGGCCTGCCCGACCCAGGGCGGCGGAAGCCGAACACCCTCCCGGCACGGCCGCACCTGGCTGTTTTTCCTGGGGAGAGTGCCCCACCCTCTCTGAACTTCAGGGGCCTCCCCCGAAAAGCAGGAGGCAGAGGCTGTAAGGTTTTCCGCCACTGAGTCCCTGTGGCCCCAGCCCGGATGCCACTGAGGGGAAAGGGCTCGGGGAGCAGAGAGAAGCATGTGCTGGGAGTGGGTCCAACAGACAGGCGGGCAGGCGCCTGGGAGTTACCTTCTGCTCAGCGGTTGCCTCGGTGAACATAAACATCCTGAGTCAGCCCCAGCCCGGGGTCACCACTGGGCAAAGGCCTGGGATCTGGACTTTTCCCTGCCAACAGGTGCAGCCCGGCGGGGAACGGCTGTGCTGGCCAGAGGAAGTGTCTGCAGCCACAGGGCCTGTGGGCGTGCCCTTTGACCCTGGGGACTGACCGGGACTGCACTCGTGTGAGACCCATGTCCCACATGGCCCCCTAAGGGGCTCCGGGTAGCAGGGGAGGTCTTTGAGTCTGGCTCCAGGGGTGTGAGCCCTTGGTGGGGGTGGGGCTGGGCTGGGGGGATGTCCCTCCCACCTGGGAGACTTGGTGGCTTGGAGAGGCCCGCTCTGACCCGGAACTCTCCTCAGGCTCCCACT